CAACTGTTACCCTTCTCCCATGTCTATTTAATTCTACTTTGACTGAACTAGATTTCTGAATGTTAGGGCTTTTTTTTTTTCTTTTACATATATACTCAGTCACTCAAAACAAGGCATGTAATTTTCCTTGGACTTAATAAACAAGTGGAACATATTCACCTGGAAAGGAGCCTTTTCCCTTTATAAATAAGGAAGTCCAATTTCCAAATCCCTGCCATCCCATGTCATTCATATTCTCATCTGACAAATATTTATTTTATGCCTCCATGTCCAGGACCCTGTGCCAGAGGCTGTAAGTACAAGCAGACCTTGTTTCGTTCATTCTAAGACACAGATTAGCATTACATTTGAATACAAAGTATGTTTTCTTTATCAGTGGTACCAAATGAATAGTGCATCTCACAATTAATGGGCATCTTACATTAGGTGAAATATGGTACAAGATATAGCCCCTGCTCTCAAGCAGCTTACAGATGTTGCAATTACTGTGCTGGCTGCCAGTTTTCTTCCTCTGTGGGAGGAAACTCAGGGCTTAGTTTGGAAAGGCTGAACCTACTCTTTGCAAGAGATCAAACAACCCTTCAGAGTGAAACAGTGTGCCTCCAAACAGCAGCACAGCCAAGACACCTTGAAAAAGGAGTGAGAACAAATTAGCAAAGGTGCAGGAACCTCCAAAACTATTTCTTCTAGGAAATATTCCCAAACACTACCCATGAGAGCCGATTTATTTTTTTTATATATTTTTTTTGCTTTCCTATTTGACTCATTTTTATGTTGCAAAGTATGGTTTTACTCTTTATGAGGAAACACATAAATGGAAAGAAAATCCTTCCAGAAGGCAAGGAAAATTTCTGGGGGCAAAGAAATCTTTTTCCACAGTGAGAAAATACCGGGCTAAAGAAGTTGTCAATTGAACTCTCAAGCTCAAAAAACTGGAGAAACCAGCACAAGAGAAAGCTCTGATCTTAGAAATACATCATCATGCACAGTTCTACCAGAAAAACTCATGGGTGTTTGCAGATACTAGAGAAGCTTGAGAGAGTGGCCAGAGGTGCGGTCCTAGCCTCACAGCAATTATAAATCAGATCCTCACATCCTTAGGACAAGCTGACCTGAAGACGGCTATGGGCACTGGGTGGTTAACAGCAGGATCATTAGTGTGGCAGCTTGCAAATATTGCATTGGCCTGTGTAAGAGAAGAAAGCAGCACCCTGTTGTCACATAGCAGGAAAACCAGAAAGGACAAAAAGCAGATGGGTGCTTCCTGAGTTAAGCACAGCAGGCAGGCTGGCTGCCATGTTGAATTCGGAGGCTCTGCACCACCTAACTTTTGGCTCTGCCACATCTGGTACTTGATCCAGGCTGATCCAGCTGCATTCCTGAGCTTCAGAACACAGGTGTTTCTACTGATGCTTTTCCCTGTTGGGGGAAAACAATGTGTTCTGAACTGAGGGGGTCCAGTACAGGGGTGTTGAGACTGGTGGCCAAGCAGACCAGGCAGAGCTACAAATGCACTGCCCGAGGAGGAGGTAACAGGGTGGCCACGCAGGAGTCTGAGGATGAGTTGGCAGGAGGGCAAGTGTGCGTGCTGACCCCGAAGGAATGCACCCCTTGTTCCTGGAGCTCACAGAGAGCCTTCCAGCAACCTGATGTCTTCCCATTCCAGCCAGGATGTCAGGGCCACTTACTCCAAAGTTTGATCCCTAAAGCAGGGAGCAAAACGTTCTTTTTCTTTTCTGTTGTGTGTCAGCTTGCATTGCCGAATGTCTTTGTTTCCTAACTCAATCCCATCAGTGTAAGCTGACTGCCTCACTTACTTGAAATGAACTCAGAGAAGAAACAAGTTTCCCACAAGGCTGCATTCTCCAGGGTGCTGAGAAGGACAGAGCTAGGCTCAGCCCCTGCAGAGAGGGACAGAGGAGGAGGGGGGACCCTATTTATTGTCTTAAAAGAACATTACAAACAAAACACTGAAAGTCTCTCCTGCATCCAGATGAAAGCAGCACAGCATTCACCATACCCGTACTGGAGAGATAAATGCCTCTATGGCCAAGTCCAGTGGCTGTTTGTCTTCTCTTAAATGAGGAAGGCGGCATGAGGAAAGATAAAGGAACTCCAGTTGGGAAAGTGCGATTCCTTATTTATGAAATAAGTGAACTTGATAAGACGATCTGCAGGGTCCAGGAAAAAGTCAAAATTTCCACGAACCCAAGAATAAAATAAACTCAGAGCTAAAAGAACACAGTCCCAAAAAGCTAATCACTCCGATACACCAAGACCTGACTGGTTATTAAAATAAGATATAGCCCTCCCTTCTGGAAGGCATGAGCAGGTGCTGGCTGACTCAGTAGGTACCTACTATAGTGGGGGAAATATGTCCATCCCCAGGGGAGTTATTGAGCACCCTTTAGACCCTTACCTTACACCAGAAGGTCAACCTTCCACATTCAAATTCTTTCCCAAGGCTTGCCTCTTCAGCTCATGTCTAGGGAAGGCCTCCAGTTTAACTAGCTGCCACAAAGCCCCCAGCTACCAGAATTTTGGTGGGTAACAGAGAGATTAGAGGGGACCTGATGACAAGTTCAGGCTGTTATGTCCCAGACAACAATCTGAGCATAAGCATGGACCCGCTTCTCACAGCTCCTTGGCATTAACTTTGGCCCTGAGTTCCCACAGCCCCCTCTTCAGCTGGTGAATTATAAAATGTGACTCCAGTTTCTAGGAAATCAGTGATTAGTGTTTGGTCAGGATTTTAAATTTTTTTAATTAAATTTTAATTTATTCCAGGTAAGTATTTTTGGATATGGCATCTAGCACAAGGCTTTGCACTCAAGAAACACTGAATGAATAGATACATGAATCAGTAAATAACCAGATGCATTGGATCTGAGCTCCGTAACAGGAAGACATCCCCTGCCAGTCACCTCCACACACTCAGTTCCAGGGTTTGCCATCACATTTCCCTCAGGAGCCGAGCCTGACAGAAGTCATATGAGCAGCTAGTACATCTGCTAATATATTACCTTTCAGAGTTTAATATGATTCCCTGGATTCGATGAAATGTCAGAGGGCCAATTTCTGAAGATAAGTGTGGTGACTTACAATATCTGAAGAGGAACAATGACATCTACAAGAGTGGCCCCTTAGTCACCCCTCCTAAGAATCCCTCAGGAACACGGCCATACCTGAGCAGATTCTTCCTGCCCAGCCATGCAGCCAAAGTCTTCTCATCAGGATTTCTGAGATTTTATTTATGTCTTTTTTCTCCATACTCAAAGGTGTCTTCAGGAAGGAATCCCAACCCCATGTGTGGAAGTAAAGCTTGTTGCTAAGGCAGTGTGGGGCTGCGCACCCACGGGCTTTACGGCAGAAGACCCACCAGGCTAGGCTGGTATTCAACACCCCCTGGTGAAACAAGAGTGTGACCATTGAGAAGCAAATGTCACTCCAGTCAGATGGAAGGGTAATCAGAGCTCTCCACAATTTTATTTGAGTTCATTTAAAATAACCAACAAAGAGCCCGGCTGGGCATTGCTCAGCGGTTGAGCGTCGACCTAGGATCCAGGCGATCGGGGTTCGATTCCCGGTCAGGGCACATGCCCGAGTTGCGGGCTTGATCAATGACTCTCATCATTGGTGCTTCTATCTCTCTCTCTCCCTCTCCTTTCCTCTCTCTGAAATCAATAAAGATCTATTTAAAATAAAATAAAATATAAAAAAATATATGTAAAATAAAATAAAATAACCAACAAAGAAAAGCGTGTGACAAACACAAGCAGCAAAATGCAGAGTAAACCAAATCCTCTTTGAGGTCCTGCTATCCCCCCCAAGGACGAAGGAGGTCTGTAGAGACACCTAGTATAGAGATAATGCACACAAAATACCTCCCTCCTCAAGAAGCTCTCCATGCCAAAGGATCTGATTTCTCCAACTTGTCTTCGGTCACAATGGCAAACACCCTGAGAGCATGTCTGTCATATGTAAACTTCCTGTAACTCACGTGTTCATGCACATACGTGTGCAGCTCATTCAGACATGGCACTCTGCCAGTACAAGGCCCCTTCGGGTACTTTATATTTGGTTAATGAAAACACGGAGTAGTAGCTCTGAAAGGGCATAAAGACTCGTGTTACCTTGATAAGAATTCTGCACAAAATCCAGCCTCAGGGACGCAACGCAGGCACCATGAGAAACGCCCTATTCAGCACCAGGCTGAACCTGCCCTTCAGCAAAGCAGGCCTGGCTCGAACCATTCTAAGCATCCATATGAAAGAGAGGCAGGCATGAGGGAGTCGGCCCCTCGAATGGGTGCGGTGAACATTTACTTCTCCCAAAGGAGAGAATCCCAGGGTGTCTGGTGCACAGGTCTAAGAGGCAGACCACCAGGGACCATCCCTGAAAGGCCACCTGAGATCGGCCCCCCAGGCCATATCTAGCCCTTCTCCTGGGGCTATAAATGCTGATTTGAAATTCCCTTTTAACCCAGAGTGATTTGGGAGAAAAGGGAGAGAAATCCCAATATTGTGAGGATGTCAGTTTTCTCTGCCCCTCCTCTGAATGCCCTCATGTTGGACTCTCCCCTCCGGGAAGGAACCCAACCATCGGCCATTTCAGATCCTGGGTAGAGTGGTGCTGACACCTAGGGGTGGATGGCGAAAGAGCCAGTGCGGAGAGAAGGCCAGCCCAAGCTGCACGCTGTACCTCCGGGGAGTGTCCAAGGAGTGGTGTTTTCCCCCAGTTCCTGTCCACCTGTCCCCAAGTCTACCTCCCTCCTAGAGAAGGTCACCAAAAACCTGTCCAGTGACCTCCCACACAAAAGGACAAAGGCAAAGTTTGACTTTAATTAAAACCGGCCAGTTCCCCACCCCGTTCCCACATCTGCCTGAGAAAAGCAGCCACAGGGGAGGCTGGAGGTAGAGAATATAAAGCCAGAAGAAGATGCATCGACAGGCTCTGTTCAGCAGGGACACGGGCCAGGAGGAACCGGGGCGCTTTCTTACCAAACTCGCTCGCACAGAGATGTTCGATTATGGCTTCAGATTTCAACTCGTTGTCACATGGAGGACACACGGTTGTGCCTGGGAAGGGAGAGGAGAAGGAAAAGCAGCTGTGAGTTGTGGGTTAGGGGGTGCAGAGAGGAGCCGTCCCTGGGAAAGAGATCAGCCCACAACCATAATGAAAGTAATTAAAGGCCTTCTGGAATTTCTGAAGGGCAACCCAACAATCAAAGAGAGGGCTCCCAAGGCCCAGGACCTAATGCTATTAAGCGGACATATGGTTTCTTGAAAATCTGGGGGCTAGAGCTGTTGAATATAGCACAGATACTTACAGCATCAACACCTGGGGCTGGGTGGGGGCGACTCCTATGGCTTGTGGCTTGATGGGCTATGGCGGGCCTCTGGGGAAAGCTGACTTATAAACCAAACACATCTATTCCAGTTGTCGGTTTCCTGTTCTTCCTCCCCTTTCCTTTGAATATCCCCCATCTGATTCCTGCCCCCTTCCCATTCTCAAGCTCCCAACAAGACAGCAGATCAACCTGACCGGCTCTCTAGGAGCCAAGAAGGAAAAAAAAACTCAGCCAGACTCACAAACTCTAACCCCAGGCCCTGAACACCTCTCAAAAAGGGCTATCACTAGCAGGAGCTGCCAAATGGGAGGACAGAGCTGGATGGGAGAGACCCTCTGGAGGCATTTTCATGACACTGTGAAGTGCTTTGAAGAGGAGATGTGTGTGTGGCCGACATCAGGGCCACTGGTAGGTGGCTAAGTTCCAAGGGGAAAAGGCATCTGAGGATGGGGCTAGAAGCCTCCTCCAAGTCAAAATGCTACTGATGCTGGAGGGATCCCAGGGAAATAAAGTGTTTCTGTGGAAGGGCAGGGAGAAAGAGGTACAGTGTAATCCCCAGAAAGATGCAGTGGCTTCTCATCACCACCACCACCACCATCACCATAAGCATCTTCCAAATGACTTGGAGTTTTATCCGTGATCTGGGAAAGCATCAGCATGCTCTAAGGGGCACTCCATCCTTGGCACAGCACTAGAGGCCGAGCCAGGCTGGAGCCAAGGAGGACAGGAAAGTCACCTCAAGGAAAGATGGTGGCTGAGCGACCTCTGCTCAAACATAAGGCTCTTGACACCACCCCCCTCCTCCCCCCTTCCCTCTCCATGGCTCCTGGGATAGCATCTCCTCCTCAGGGAGCTCCCCTGTGACTCAGTGAAATGGGCAAGGCCTCCCAAGATGAAGGAAAAGCAGGGCGCTGCACAGCCCTCCCAGGCCCATGCTGCCCCCAGGACACAGCGGCCCAGAGCTGGCCACCCCCCTCCACTTCCAAGCAGGGTCCCTACATGGCCCAGCAGAGACCACATGTCTTAGTCTTTGTTGACAGATTCCTCTCCAGCCTTTACTCTACATCCAGGGCCAAACACCATCCAGATTCTCAATGCAGCAAGAACCACAGCCACGCTCCAAGCGGAAGACTGTGTGACTGTCTTTTGGCCCAGATGTTGGAAATTTGCTTTTCACCCAAAAGCAAATTTGAGATTGGTAGTGTTTCTAACAAAGGGAAAAACTTACCCAGAGTTTTACATATGGTTCTTGCTTCCATGGGGAGAAAAACAGGGAAAGGAAGTCCTGCAATATGGGCAGGACCATGTAACTTATAGTGGGAGCATCACCTGTGCCTTGGGGTTTTCCTTGTTCAGGTTTTTTGGGTTTTTTTAATGGACGCTAACACACTGCAAGGTTCTATGAATATAATCCTGACCAAACAAGTAGAAGGGCAGGGCCATCAGAATATAAACGCCAGATCTCCATCTGCTCCTCACACTCACATCATTTTATCTAGACACTGGGTTCCCGATCCCAGCCAAGGGCTCTGTACCCCACAGGGGCATTTCCCTTGGTACCATCAATGACCTTTGGCCTTCAGTGCCTCTCAGGGCAGCAGGAGCTCCTTGAGGTGAGCTCTGTGTGTTCTCAATGTGGCTTCCCCCCATCTTACTTTCCTTATAGCCGGCTATGGAGCAGCAGCAGCTCGATCCAGACAGGAGGAATGTGTAATGCAATATTAATCTGTGCCCCTTCTGACTGTCCTTGGGGCCCCACAGGCTGCCTCAGCAGGAAAAATCCACCCAGGCATCTGTCTGAGAGGTAGAATGAAACCGCTGTTTTAAAGTGTATTTAAAATGTTTAAGCAAAGGGACCAAAAACTAAAACGTTTTTGTGTTTTATTAATATTTAAAGGGGAGTAGAAGAGAAAGCCCAACAGTGGGATCAGGATTAAGTAAATTTTTAAAAATCAATGCACACACACACACAGCACATTCTCTACCCCGTCTCTCACACAACGCTCTCTCTCTCTCTTACATACACACACACACACACACACACACACACACACACACACACACAGACAGCAGGTCTTCCCTGGTCAGCTCCTGGATACACGGAGAAGGGACTCCATGGAAGGCTGTTGGGCATAATGAGGGCACTGTGGCCTCTGTGACCTGTGACTAGAACAGCCAGGCTGATTTAATGCACAACATGCCTAAACAACAACTAAACTAAAGTATGTGCTTGTTCATACAACTTCAATCAATAAAACCTTGCAGGAAGGAAAACAACTTATCATAATGTAGAGGTCTAATGTAAGTCAAGACTTAGAAATAACTTTCCTAGGAAAAGAACCATTGCCTCTCCCATAACAGATGCTTGATGCAGTTTGGGCCATGGCCTTTTTTTGGGGGGGAGGGGGGCGTTGTCTTTTGCCTCATTTCTCATAACTGAGTTTATTTTAATAACACATGGCCACAAAGGGCAGCCCAATACCCCAAAGTATGTAAACAGAAATCAGCCAAATCATACAGAGATCTGATGCTGCTTTGAAAACTCAGTTTTAATTTTCAAGAATAAAAGAATAAAAATAGGACATGTGTACTTATTGTCATCCAAAAGTACGAGCCACCAGCCATCAGGTTATAAGAACCAGTAGTGCAGTCACCTCAACCTGCACCAATGCACATGCACACAGCCCTCCCACCTCCGTGCTCAGCTGACAGTCAGTGGCCATTTGGCCACAGAGGAAATCATGTGGGGCTCCTTCCCACTGAGTGGCTGCAGGCCTGGGGAGGAACAGATGCCCTCTCAAGGCAGAGCCTCTCACCAAAAATGCTGAGGGGGGACAACCAGTTCCCTGGTCCCACACCTGACTGGTCCTCTCACAGCCTTTCTCTCTGTTCAGCAGCTGGTCTTGGGAGGGTGACTACTGGGCACTCCTGGGATGGAGGAAGAAGAGAAGAGGGAGGTACAACAGCCCAGACAGGAGGAAGCACACCAGTGGAGCAGCAGCCAAGGGGTGAAAGGCTTCAAGAAGACACCCCAGACTTTTGGGGGTTCAACTGGGAGGATTCTTTTCCCTTCCTAAGTAGGCACCCCAGCCAGTCCTCCCATCTTCTCCTCAGAAGGTGTTCCCCCAAAGGTCTGCTTGTCCACCAACTAACTGACCCAGAAAGACAAGTGGACTCAGCCCAAGCAGAGCTAGCCAGGGCCTCCCAGGGCAGGACTAGGCTGGGTTGGGCTAATCCCCCAGCGGCCGGCCAGCCAGCGAGGAAGGGGAGAAGGAAAATGCTGTGGGCCGCAGGGGGTGGCTCCACACCGCGGAACACAAAGTGCTTTGTTTGCTCTAGGTAATTGCTCAGCTCTCGCTCTCAAAGAGCTGCACTTCCCAAAGGTTAACCCTGTGCAGACACCCAGGAAGTGGACAGCGAGAGGTGCCCGGATTCCCACCAGCCGGGACCCATGCCACCCAACATCAATCACCTTGGACTGATCTTCTCCCTCCCTAGAATAAGTAAATGCGTTCAAAGTTCAGGGTGCCCCTTTCCCCAAACCCACCCCTACCCTCACTCTGCGGGAACACGCCCTTCAGTGGACATCTCTTTTTGGCATCACATAAAGATATGCGAAGTCAGCAAGCAGCCTTCCTGAATGTTACATGACAAGAAACACCCCCACCGGAAGCCCCCTCCTCAAAAAGCCCTCCAGACTTAGCCCCTGAGCTAAACACACCTGGGTATGGCTCCCCATCTCAGACTATCTCCACATCTTTAAGTCTCTGCTTCCAAAGAATTCAGGGTTGAATTTACTCCTATAAAAGTCAGGACACTGTGCTGGGGGGTTTGCTTGTTTCCTTGTGTTGCCTCTCTGGGATTTCTCTCCTCCCCCCCCCCCAAGAACTGCCCTTTAAGTGGGAGGGAGTTCGAGGAACTTCAGGCAGTCCCAGAGACAGTTAGGAAAGTCTCCAATTTGCAGAAATCCACTCCCCAAGGAGAGGCGAACAATGAACTAATTACATTTTTATCTTTCTAATTACCTGGGGATTTGTGTAAATGAGACACGCAGGGGGTATGCAAGCATGAAAAAGAGATTCCCCCCCCCAACCCTCCCCAAGCCTTTACCTGAAAGGGGTGGAGAAACAGAAAACCCCGTTTCCAAAGTTTCTTTCTCAGCTAGTTCTGCAGTTTCGGCTACTTGGCTGAATGACTAGTTAAGGCAAGAGTTGTTTGTTTTTGTAAAATCCTCATGGAATCTAAGAAAATAAAGCTGCGCCCCAGCATATATCCCGGCCTTCCTGAGCTTTCTGCACTTTGGGTTTTGGGTTTACCCTCCTGGTGCATCCTGTCTGGAGTGTTAATCACTGCGATGAGGGCTCGGTTCCCTCTCGGAAGGGAGACGGGCTCTCCTTTTATTTGGAGCTTAAGGCTTTGTTTCAGGTACGGAAAACAGAGACTGAACCCCAAGAAGAGCAGCTCCACAAGCGGGACCCCGTTTGGGGGAGGAGGGAAGCGCAGCCGCCGCGGCCGGGCCAGCCCGGAGGTCCGTGCACCTGGGTCGGGAGAGGCGCTAGGCAACACCTGGGACGGCCTGGAAGCTTTGGGGGGAAAAATCATCCTCTGCCCAGCTGAGGAGCAGTCTCTAGGGAGCACGTCCGAACTCCGGGGTGCAGCGGCAGCCGGCGGTCGGGGTGGCAGCGGCTCTCCCGCAGCCCCCGCTGCAGCCCGGCGGATCCCAGGGTCCCCAGCAGCCCGGGGCATCGGAGGGGGTGGCCTTACCTTGGGGTTTGGAGGCTTCGGTGGCATTGGGCGGGGTCATGGCGATGCAGACATCCCCCTCGGGGAACTTGTCACACTTGAGCATCTCGGGCCAGTAGAAGCCGAAGAACTGCATGACCGGCTCGCAAGAGTCGCGCACGGCCTCGCAGAGCCAGCGGCACGGGTAGATGGGCCGGTCCAGGCAGACGGGCGCGAAGAGCGAGCAGAGGAAGACCTGGGTGCCGATGTGGCAGTTCTTGTTGAGCAGGGGCACCCAGCTGCTGGCCTGCTGCTTCACCTCGGCCATGGTCTCATGCTCCAGCAGGTTGGGCAGCACCATCTTCTTGTAGCCCACGTTGTGGCACAGCCGCAAGTCCGCGGGGATGTCCACGCACTGCGGCGGCTTGGTGTAGAAGCGCCCGCTCTGGT